GGGGGGGAAGAAGGAGCAGCGGAGTGTTGAATAGCGCCTTTAAATTACTGCTGACACCTCTGTTACAGCTCCCGAAAATCTCAATCAACAACCCATTAGAACTCAACGGGAGTAAAACTAAATCCTCGTTTAAGTGTATTTATCCGCTCTCTTTTCTCTCTTTCAAATGCTAAATCCATTTCAGCATATGCCCCTTCTTTCTCTCGCCTTTCTCTAAAGACTGGCAGCCCGTACCACTCTTGTAAATATGAAAGATGCTAATCATATGACATATCACGTCTCAGTCGGAGCCTGGAATAAAGCCTTGAGATTTGGGATCATTGCCTCCAGACAACAGCTTCATCAGCCGGAAAGTTGGGGTTTTTTTCTCCTTTCCTTCAACTCTCAATCCCTTCTTTGTCTGGGGGAAAATGCAGCCAACTCGAGCCACCCCGGCCATATGGTTCACTCTGTGTTTTCTTAGTTGAATCCTGAATTGTTTGTGACTTGCGAAGGGTTTTTTTTTTTTACATTAAAGAAAGGACTGTTGATTTATATTCAGCCCCTTACTCTCTCATATACTTTGTTAATTACTGGGCTGGAGAAGCACAAATTTCTATAGATAGATTTACAAATACACTCAGTGAGACAGACTGGAAAAGGTGGAGGGCAGGGATGGGAAATAAAAGCGGAATGCTTGTGGAAAGGCAGAAAGAAGAGAGAATTTATTTGGCTCACCCCTACATAAAGATACAAGTTAAATGGTAATAGTAAGTTTTAGAATTAAGTGCATACATACACATATCTCATACATTCTTGTCTCTACATATTAGTTATTCTGATGCTTTTCCTACATTTCTCTTTTTTTTTCTTTCTTTCTGGGTTTTTTTTTTTTTTTTGGAAGTGTGTATAAAGACATAGTAGAGCCTGCCTGCGCCGGGACGACTCTGCCAGGGCTGCTACGTGGTCTTCACGTGTTCGTTTCACACACTCCTCCTGCTGCCGCTTCACCGCTACCGCTCTGCCCAACGGTCGAAAGATAAAGCCCCCGACGCGCTTTTTAACCATAACGCAACCGATTCTGCCGCTCGTGTTATTTTCCCCTTTGGCGAATGGAAATGCCATCTTAAAACACGATTTATTTTGTTTGTGCTCATCCGCAGCCCGGTTTGAATTTGTGCGAAACAAGAGTTGGCCGCTCACTAGCAAATCCCTCCTAGAAACGCCTCGGCCTGGAGAAGCCCCGACGTATTTTGAGGAAGGAAAAGTGGCTTTTAGGACCTGTATAAATTAGGAGCTGAATGAGTTCGGTGCGCTCGAGTTTGGATAGCCCCCCCTGTCTGATAGCAGCCTGCCAAATTTTCTTTCTCTCTTGCCTTACACCCACCCCACCCCCCAAAAAAAAAAGGCTCTTTCACCAAATCATTAAATTCTACAGAGGTGGTCAAGCTAGTCCTGCTTTTCAGGCGTTCGAGAAAGAAAAGAGTCCTTGAAGTTTAGAAGATGCCCAAGGAAAACTCATTGAATGACATCAAAAGAATGAGTTTCCATAGCTGTTGAAGCACGAGAGCCGTGTAGCCGCACAAAGGCGGGTTGGGGCAGTGGGACTGTCCCACTGCTCTATCCCAGCACAATTGGGTCACTGAAATAGGGAATTAATTACCATTGGAGAGTGGGCAGCCCATTCACCGCTGGCTGAGTTTTATTAAACGCCAATATAAATAACAAAACAACTCTTGTGGCTGCACTATTCCTACACGCCAAAGGAAGGATTATGTTGGGGATTAACATCTTAAAGTCTATGAGACTTTCTGACTCAAGGCTCGGAGCTGGTAATCGTATTTGTCTCCTGGTTCAGCGATTAGTGCTCTCCCTCGCGCACCTTCGCCTGGATGGCCAATGTCCCTTTTTGCAGGCACTGGGTTTTTCACACAATCGGCTGTTCTTTTCCCCACAGCTATAGAAAAGAATAAGAAAACTGAAGCGTGTTCACGCGATCCTCAAGCTTCTTCTCTTCTTCATGGGAAAGGAAGGCACCGGCGGCCTTTTTTCACACGGGGGGGGTTGG